TTATACAATTTATGATTAACCCCAACCCTAACTCCGCCCCACGCAAATTTAATTCCTTAGGTGGTGACAATCACCACTGGTGAGAAATAGCAATTCTCATAATTAGAATTGAAGAATTTGGATTAGAAAAAATTAACAATTAAAAATAGGAGCAAAAATTCAATATTTTCAATAAATTTTTTTACAACTTGTTACTCAAATGACTGAACAAGAGTTGAACAATTGCTTTTCATCACCTGATAATAATAACAGTAACGATAATACTGAAATTGATTATGAAATAATTCAAATTAATGAAAATAATTGTACTCGAGCTGAATCCAACAAAACTGAGAAACGTGTACATGGAAGGCCAAAAAGTATAGTATGGGATCATTTTTATGAGAATGGACCCAAAATTCATGGACATATTGGTAGTATATGCAAGTATTGTGAAGGCATGAAAGAATCTGGAAGACCATCAGCTATGATAGCCCATCTTGCATTACAATGTATTCAGGTTCCAGCTTTAGTACGACAAAATTTTTTACAAATAATTGCAAGTTCAAATGATGAAGTTAATGAACAAAGTAAAACTAAAAAAATAATTCTTCTAAAAGAGTATTAGATTTAGAAATTGCTAACCAGTCAATTTCAAAAATATAACATAAGCCAAGGACAATCAAAGTTGTGTGATAATGCATTAACAAGATTTTTTGTATGTTGTAGCATATCATTTGCAACAGTTGAAAATTTATTTTTTTTGGATTTCATTAAAAATTTGTGTCCTGCTTATAACTCACCAGATTGTAGGACATTGAGTACAGGGTTGATAGATAAAGAGGTTGCAAGAATTAGTATTTCAATTGAGAAAGAATTAAAAGTGAAGAAAACTTATCCTTGGTTGTTGATAGTTGGAAGAGTAACCAACATCATTCATATTGTGGATTTTTGATTATCACTTCATCACGAAAACAATTTGTTCATTCAATTAGGGATTTTTCAGATTATTCTCATACTGGTGCATTTTTTGCTGAAGAAATTGGGCCACAAAGATTTTCTGCTGTCATTAGTGATGGTGCAAGCAACATGCAACTAGCAAAAAGAATAGTTACAGAACAATATCCACATATATTATCTATACAATGTGTAGCACATCATGTAAACTTAGTTTTTTCAGATATTGTTAAAAAAATTAGTTTTGGCAAGAATGTTTTATCTCAATGTCAAAAGTTTGTGAGTTATTTTCAAGGTTCTTATAAAGCAGGCGCACAACTTCGTAATGAAATAGTTGAAGCATTCATTATGGGTGGAGGTCTTAAGTCATCAGTGGTAACAAGATGGAGCAGTACATGGGATTGCTGTAATTCTGTATTATGACTTGAAAATATTTTTAGAAATATGATTGAAAAAGATCCAAGATGTATGTCAACTAATTTGTATAACTTAGTAAATGATAGGAATTTTTGGGCAAATGTTGAATGCCTTACAAATGTATTATCACCTGAAAAAAAGGCTGTTAAATGTATAGAATCTGCAAACTCCACTTTGGCAGATATTTTTTTAATCCTCATTCAAATGGCTGCTACAATAAAAC